CTGGCCGTCGTGGGTGAGTGACGCGCGGGCACCCCGAGCCCCGTGCTGCGCCCCTGGGCACTCGGACGCGCCGCGCTGAGAACGCGCCCCTCTTCTGCCTCGGTTTACCCCCTCCAGCTGCGGGTGGTTCCCGCGGAGACTCCGGCACCCCACTTTAACACGGCGCCGGGGCCACTGTGGGGCTGGTCGGAGCCAAAAAACTTCTTGGGGTGCGCTGGAGGGGCCCCTCAACTTCGGGCTGGCACCTATCCGGCTGCTGTCTGTCCCTGCCTGTCTTCTGTCTTTTCTGTTACCCATCCATCCAAGTGTAGGGGGACCCCTCTTCGCAGGGCGAGTCGCCCCCGGAACCCCAGTCTAAGTGTCAGTGCCTAGCAGCTGGCTGGGCGTGGTGCACGCCTGTCATCACAGCGGTCAGGGAGGCTGAGGCAGGAGGATCAGAAGTGTGAGCCCGGGCCGGGGCAATTTAGCAACTTGCATAGCAAGACCCCTACTTAACTTTAAAAAAAAAAAAATGATGGTAATAGTTAGATTTAACCTAGAGTGGACCAACCGCTGGGGCTTAGGTAGAGAGGAATAGGGGTATACGCACGGGTCCGACGCTGCCTCAGCCTCCTGAGTGTCCTGACCTTCAGCTGCCCTGTGACTTCTCAGCGATCCTTGTTGCTAAGGGTGGTTTTCTGCGCGCGCGCGCGCGTGTGTGTGTGTGTGTGTGTGTGTGTGTGTGTGTGTGTTTGAGACAGGGTCTCGCTATGCAGTTCAGGCTGGCCTTGAGCTCACTTTGCAGCCCAGGCTGGTCTCCAACTCACAACAGTTCTCCTGCCTCAGCCTCCCGAGTGCTGGGATTAGAGGTGAGCGCCACCACGCCCGGCTAAGGCTGTTGATAAGGAGATGTGCTTTTTGTCAGCGGAAGGATCCGGGCCCAGAGGGGCCGGGACATCCCCTGCCTGGCCTTGGGGTAGGGGTTTTCCTGGGTCCTGATTGGAGCGGCTGGTTCCTCTTGGACAGCAGGAAGCGGTTTGGGGAAGGGACCGGTTTCAAAGGCCTGGTGTGGACTCAGGAAGCCGGGCAGCATCCAAAGTCCGGGACAAGGACACGTCTCATTCTCCTTTGTTCTTTGAGACAGACTCTTGCTGTGCAGTTCAGGCTGCCCTGGAACTCAGGGCCACCCTCCTGCCTCAGCCTCCCCTGCTCTGGGGTTGCAGGGGGCCTCCGCCACGCCCAGCAGTCTCTGTTGCTCTTTCTTTCTTTCTCACTAGCAGCCAGGCCGGCCTTCTTGTCTCAGCCTCCTGTGTATTGCAGGGGCGCAGGGAGGACCCGGGAGCAGCGTACTCTCCGGAGCCCTGGGTGGAGACCCAGCAGTGGAAACTTCTCCCCTTTTGGCAGGCAGCCGCGGCCTTTGTGCCGTGCTGCTTCAGGGTCAGGCGGGCTCCACCTCCACCTGCCGGGGCCCAGGGCTTGACATCGGATCAGCAGGACTCACCTCACACTTAAAAATAGCCGCGGTGCCTCAGGGACCAGGCCAGGATCCCCAGGGCCGGGCGGGGCGGAGAGCTGCCTCTTACAGGGCCACCGCCTTGGAGACGATCCCTGAGCTACTCCCTGGCTCACTGGCATTCTTTATTTTTGTGGACACAGCAACTAACCAAGTCTCTGCAGCTGGGCTTGAATGTGACACCCTCCTGCCTCAGCCTCCCCAGGGCTGGGATTACCAGAGCGCGCCACCACACCCGCCCTCCTTTGCTGGTCTCACCCTCCTTACCCCTTGCCTGTGGCCTGGATCTGCACCCCAGGGAGAACACAGTCCCTGGCTTGGATAAGGACAAGCCTATTGTGGGCTGCAGTGTAGACTGACTATTAGAAATTGTGAGTGTTCCCCGTGGAAAAAGTTTCCACACTTCAGTTTTCTGCTTGTTTTTTTTTTTTTTTGGTACCAGGAATTGAACTGAGGACCTTGCACTTGCCAGGCAGGCGCTTGTGCTACTATGAGATATATCCCTGGCCTGACACTTCAGTCTGAAGGCCCATTTCACAGGCTGAGAAATCACACCCCGCCACACGATGGTCATGTGATTGCTGAAGAAAGAAAGGCCTTCTAATTCCTGCTTCTTTAAACTCTTTTGGCCCTTGCAACCCTGGCTGGTTATCAGCGGAAGGAGTAGCGCTGCTTTTCATTTTTCCTTATTATGGAAATTTAAAAGTGTGTGTAGTAGACACAATAGTATGGCCATGCTGTGTCACCCTACCTTAGTCCCAGTATTCCAACTGAAAATTATCCCTTAGTTTGCTTTTTGAGGCAGGGTCTCCCTGTGTAGCCCAGGCTGGCCTGCAATTCACAAAGATCCTCCTGCCTCAGCCTCCTGAGTGCTGCACGACAGGTTTGTCCACCTGACACACAGCAGAGCTCGGTGGCCCAGTCCTGGAGGCTGAGGTCCACTGCGCTGGTCTCTCCCTATCTTAGTCCATGGGGGCCGCCATATGCAACCCCACGGCCCGGGCGCTGACACACGGCAGAGCTCGGTGGCCCAGTCCTGGAGGCTGAGGTCCACTGCGCTGGTCTCTCCCTATC